TTCATGCAGACACACTGGTGAACGGCTCCTTACAACGCTTGTTACGTGCTGTTTCTCTCAACCATGCCAACACACACACACGCACGCACACACACACACACACACACACACACACACACACACACACACACACACACACACACACACACACACACACACACACAACCAACCAACCATCAGACCTCATCAGTCTGTTGTGTTTTCTTTGTAGGTCTAACCTCATGGGAACTAAGTTCACTGTATATGACAGCGGTCTGAACCCTATGAAGAGCACCACCAGCCTGGAAGCTAGCAACCTGCGTCAAGAGCTAGCAGCCATTTGCTATGTGAGTTGGTCAAAATGCTCCTTACCTTGAAGACAAATGTTGAGCAATGAGTTGGCAATAAAATACATGATAAATCAGTGTGATTACATTTGAATTAATGTCATTTTTCTAATAAGCTACTTAACATGGAATACTTTAATATCAGAGGTATAAGTCATTTTTATTTGCTTTGAAATTGTGTCTGGTGGCCTTTGAAATTCAGAGTTCCATGTTGGGAGTCTAACTCAGATAATTAGATGAAGACATTCATGAAAAACGGTGGAGGCAGGACGTCGCCATAATCAGTTTGAAATAAAGTTGTCATCTATATGCCTGTATCAAATCAATTTCATTGCAGACAGAGATAACTTTCAAGTCCACAATAACAATGTTTTTTTTTTTTACGTTACACTGAGTACAGTAGATAGTAGTATATAATTCTTCAGATCGATAAATAAATTTGTCTCTTACTGTAAAAAATGTTGTATATTTTAATAAATGTATTGTGACATAATTCATTTTTAATATTGTAACATACTGTGATATGTTATTAAAGTTATGCAAGTTTGTTGAGAACATGCTTACAACACAGTTTATTGTCTTTTCAACCTAGGAAACCAATGTCTTAGGATTCAAAGGGCCTCGCAAAATGAGCGTCATCATTCCTGGAATGAACATGGACCATGAGAGAGTGTCTATTCGGCCACGAAATGTAGGTGTTACTTAAAATGGCCACATCTGTGCTGACCAATTCAGCCTCTTCAAATACTTACATAATTGATCTGGTGTCTACGATGTCCAGGTCCGAAGATATTCTGTTTTTCTTCATTACAGGACCATGAATCACTGCTGGCCAGGTGGCAGAACAAGAACACAGAGAGTGTGATTGAACTTCATAACAAGACGCCTGTGTGGAACGATGACACACAATCCTATGTGCTCAACTTCCATGGCAGAGTCACTCAGGCCTCTGTCAAAAATTTCCAAATCATTCACGACAATGACCGTGAGTTCCATACCTCTAAACTGCTAGAGGTTTATTTTTAACTGCAATGAACTGATCTGTGTTGTATGTATGTGCATATACATCACATCGTGCTGTACCCATAGATCCAACCAGTGGTAGGTTTTAGTACAACAAAACTTTGTTTTGTTTCTTTTCCTTTCTACAACAATTGATGAATCAGTGAGAATAAGTAATGCAGAAATAAATGACTGAAATGATAATAAACATCAAGGTGTCCTTACACAAAAATGCCAAAAATGTGGAGCCAAAGAATGCAGCAGATCAGTGTCACCTGTGAACAGTAGCAAAAGCACTGTTGCCATGGTTACCTAAATTGACCGGAACTATGTTTTAAGGCATCTGATAATGCCTGTCAATCAGATACAAGTAATTTCCCTGGTCATAGTATTTGTGCTTACATGCACTAACTAAAATGCACAGTGAAGTAACTCTAGACAAGGCGTACCGTAGGTTTTCAGTAGGGTGGTTTTTGCTATATGAGGTAATACAGAAACCCACAAATGAATAAATAAGGTATTATGAAATGCACCATATATGCATCATGTGAATAAGTAAAGACAATAATCCAGTCAGTTAAAAAAGCACAGCACATTATAAACTTAATCCTTCATCCTCCTTTTTTGCACAATAAAAGTAACATAAGCCAGTTATGTGAGTAGCAGTTGGTTGGTCTGAATAAGCAAACCGCCAATCACGTAACATTGTTTTTATTAACACTGAGCATAAGTTTTAAAAATACACTCACCAGCCACTTTATTTGGTACACCTGTTCAATTGCTTGTTACCACAAATAGCTAGTCAGCCAATCACATGGCAGCAACTCAATGCATTTAGGCATGCAGACGTCAAGAAAAATTGCTGAAGTTCAAACCGAGCATCAGAATGGGGAAGAAAGGGGAATTAAGTAACTGTGAATGTGGCCTGTTTGTTGGTGACAAAGGGCTGATCTACTGAGATTTTCACACACAACCATCTCTAGGGTTGACAGAGAATGGACCAAAAAAAGAGGAAATATCCAGTGAGCAGCAGTTGTGCGGATGAAAATGCCTCGTTTATGTTTAGGTCAGAGGAGAATGGGCATGACAGAAAGGCAACAGCAACTCATATAACCACTCATTACAACCAAGGTAAGCAGAATACCATCTCTGAAGGCACAGCGCGGTGAACCTTGAAGTAGATTGGCTACAGCAGCAGAAGACCACACCGGGTGCCACTCCTGTCAGCTAAGAACAGGAAACTGAGGCTACAATTCACACAGACTAACCAAAATGGTCAATAGAAGATTGGAAAAACGTTGCCTGGTCTGGTGAATCTTTATTTCAGCTGCGACATTCAGATGGTCGGGTCAGAATTTGATATAAACAACATGAAACCATGGATCCATTAAAGTGGCCAATGAGTGTGTATGGTGTTAGTATTTGTTTTTCTGCTGTCCTTTGTGCCTTTTTTGAATAGCCGGAGACTATAGAGTCATACAGGAAACAAGGGGAGAAAGACAACAATAGAGGGAGTGGGATGTGATGCAACAAATTAGTATTTCAAGTCCTGAACACGTCTTCTATTTATTCAACATAGATAAATTATTTGTTTCATAATAATGTTTTTTAATTAAATATTGAATGCTTTGGGTCTCCATTATTAAGAATACAAATTAAAGGGAGGGGAGAATATTGTTTGAAGCAGCTTGTTTACTGGTTCTTCTCCCCTGCAGCTGACTACATTGTGATGCAGTTTGGCCGTGTGGCAGAAGATGTCTTCACGATGGACTATAACTACCCAATGTGTGCCCTGCAAGCCTTTGCCATTGCCCTTTCCAGCTTTGACAGCAAGTTAGCCTGTGAATAGATCCCCACCCTGAAGTTCAGTGGAGAACCGGTCCATCTGTCCTCTCAACAAGGGCTGTTAATGTATCCCTGGGGCTGGATTTGAGATCTCCAAATCACCCACTACCATGGAAGTCCTGCATAACCCAAAAGGCTTTATGGGCCTCAAGTTTTGTGTTTATATGTGTGGGTGGGGTGGGGGTGGGACGTCAGGATGGTCTTGGTCAGTGCACGAAAAAAAGCACAAACAGTAATCCACTTTCAAAATCAAATTAATTTGTTTTGATAACTAAAGTCATTTTTTACTGTAATGGCATTAAAAAAACAAAACAAGGTTCCTTTATGTTGTAGTTAGAGAAAATTAACATTTATTTATCTGTAAAATATAACTAACAATTACACATTTTAAAAGTTGACTGGATTTTATGTAATCTGTAAACACAAAAAACACAATGTCACACTTTTCCTCAAGCATGACTATTGCTTATATAGTTACTGAATTAAGAATTACATGCACATCACTATATATTTATTTTGTTATTTATGTATTTATTACATGTTTATTTTGTTTTCTGTTATCATTTGCAAAAATCAAGGCTCCATGGAGCTGCAAGCACATAAATTAGCATCACAAGATAGAATATCTCTTGTATCCACACAAAACAATTAGCGATGGACATGAACAGGGCAAAGGTATGTTACACTGTGCTGTGTACTATATACAATATTGTGTCACAGTGTCATGTATGTGAATGTATAGGATGATGGTGCACTTTACTTTGAAGTCTGTAGTGGATGAGACATAGCTGTACATACTTAACTGTGCCTTTGAAGACTAATTCCAGTGTTACGCTTTGACCATAAAATGAGCTGAGCCTGAATTGGTCTTTGCTATCCTTACTGTCTTCAGATGCATTGGAGATATTTCTCTGTAGCTACACTGAATTTATTTGTCAAGTGCGGGGTTCATTTAGACTGATTAAAGTTGTAGCTGGAGTTTGGAAAATATCCAAAGTGCACATCACTGGACAACATTTAGGGATTTTCCAGATATATTTAAATTATCGTTAGGGTCTACAACACATTACACCGAAGAGGTGACTAATTATTTACATTTTACTATACATCAGGCAGTAGATATAATATCCAAGGCACTCAGGCTTACGGTGTGCTTATATCTTCTGATGTCTCCTGCTTGGAAAAAAATAAACTGAACACAGATTGACTTACTGCCAACAAACACACAGTAACAGTGTGAATCTGACACAGCTTCAACACTTATAATTCATGTCTTGCTCTTTACATCTCTGATTAATTTTATGCTCCACTAGAGTGGAGTTTGGTACATTCCTCATCTGACTGGCTGTACGTTTCTATATCACGTGGTTTATTGCTGTTCACGTTTTTACTCAAAATATTATTCCTCTTGCTCCTTATGGGGAAGTATCCTTTCTCAAATATCTGATAGTATTTTGTATTTTATGAACTTTAAAAAATGCTGAATGAAGGCAAAGAACAATCTCTGATACCGCTATTATTACTGTGGGTAATGAGAAAATCTTTATCAAATGTGATATTCTTGTACTTAACTGTGTTCTAACTATTTTAAATTTCTATTTTAAAATTGTTGATACTCTTGCTGTAAAATCTGCTTTTCATACATGTGTCCAGGAACCAAAGGTTCTTTCACTTTCTGTTTTTGGTGCCCTAGTTGTAATGTACAGTAAATGGTGTACAATTTACTGTGGTGGTCCTCACAGTCCTTTGATCATGGAAAAAAAATAAATAAAACTTCATTAAGTCATATGCATTCTGTTCTCTCAAAAAATCCCAACAAACTTACTGTACTCTTTTGAATGACATGTTTATTAATTTAATGCTGTCTTTTACAATTTACTCCTCTTTCAAAACAAGGTCCCAGTGAACATACATTCTCTTTTCACTAATCAAGTCCAGTTCCAGAAAATTGGTATTAGTCACCTTGATCTGAGCTACACTTGCACTTCCTAATGCTGAAATCTATTGCCACATGAAGGTATAACAACATAAAATCTACACATAAATGCTTCATTTGAAGTTGGCAAGCAATGCTGTCTTTATTATGTGAGGCAGTGTGAACAAAAAAAAGGTTGCTTGGCTACTAAAATGTAATACTTGGCTTACCTACAACCTTGCCTACAAATTCTTCAGGAGTGGCAGTGTGATGTACAAACAGGGTCCATTGTTTGGTACTACACAGTTCCAACATTACAGAGATGTCTGAGATGATAATGCATTGAAAACACACCATGGGGATTGCTGCTTGATCATTACACCCACTCATCAATAAGTATCTCTATTCCTCTGAGACTGAGATTTAGCTGTAGACTAACATGCTCTGGAATGGTTTGCAGCCATTGTTATTATTAGTTACACCGGTTTATGACAAATCAAAATGTCCACAGTGTCATCACAAAACTGGTATTCTGGTCAAAGGGGCATGTTTGACGTCAGCTGCAAGAACACTAGAGGTTGTTGAGAAAGATGTGTGCTAATGGGGCTGCCAAACTGTTTCAGTGAAGTAAAGTGTTTTCCTGTACTCTGTCTTGTAGAGAAACACAGCAAACTGATGCATGGCTCTTGTGCTCTATGTTGATTTAACAACCTCAATCTTTAAACAGAATTCTATTGAAAGATCGAGACTGTTGTCATTAAATTTGTCTGATAAATGACAAGTGTAACGTTTCGTTCCAGTAATATTGAAACACTTCATTTCCTTTGACCTTAGCACACAGTTGCCTCACTACTGAAGTTAGACACTGCCCCCTGTGCTGTGGCAGTTTTGCTGCTCCTACACAGTTAAAAGTGCAGAAGATGGATTTCCTTACAGCGTTTAATAATGTGTAACTTCATCACATCAATCACTAGAGGCAGCAATGTGAGAAACAGCTAATGACTTCATGTTGGCAGGGCACCTGAAGTTGAAGTTGTGCTGCTGTGACAGCTGAGATCTATCTTACCACATCCCTCCCATGTTCCTGCACTGATTTGTATTTATAAATACCCATGCTCACAACACTCTGTGTATTGACAGGAGCTTTGCTGCTATTTACTGCTGCTATCAATTTGCAAAAGCCTCCTCCAGCGCAGCCTCCACCTGCTATGCTTCTACTTTGTTTGTGTGTACACTAGACAGTTGTTATTTCTATGATAATTCTTGCTGTGGGTTTATTTACAATGTTCTCTGGATGTTATTTATCGTGTTGCTGTGTATTATAATCTGGTGTGCTGCATTACCGCGACAGGGAGCATCCCCAGGAGCAGAACCACACTGGACCACCTGGTGGTGCCAGATATTGCATGATATTGTCAGGCACTGCACTCATTTCATTTGCAGCAAAGCCTCAATTCTATTCTCAATTCAATTCTCCTACCACGAGCACCCATGGCTTCTGTCAAACATGGACACATTTTCTGATTCAAAAGTAATAACATCATATAAAAGTAATCTAATGATAAAAACAAAAATTACAAAATTACTTGATTTGACTGTTGACTGTTCTCACAACAAAAAGCTAATAATCAGTCAGTAACTTCATCAATACTCTTCACTTCTTTAAATGGTTTTAAAGGCTCCGCACGCCCACACAGGTGTTTCTAATTAACCTAACTGATTGGACCTATGCAGGGAATTATGTGAGGTCACCATTCACACACACACACACCAATAAGAATGATTAAGTGTAAGTATTATCCCGCTTTAACAGGTGTAAAAAGAGGGAGATGGTGATATGTCAATCAAGCACCTTTTGTACACATTTCACCTGGCCTAAAAAGAGGTGATTTAGTGAAAACACCTGTGCGGGTGAACTATGATTGTGCAGGGCCTGCAACAGCCTGTAATTAGTGTGAAAAAAGTTAATATTCCAAATTTGTTATACCAGAAAAAGGAGATATGGTATGTGCTCTGAATGCAAAAATACAATTGTTACTGCTTCAATGCTGATTTTGTAAATACACGCATAAGAGGCTTTTACCACATTGATGTTGTAAAAGGAGTCCTATTATTATTTGTATAAAAGTATCCCTTCAGAGCAGCTTTGCATGTTTCAGTTTAGCTTGAGTTCTGTTTTACACATATAAGGGATCAGTAATAAACAATGCACAATTTGAGGAACACTGAGTTCACTGTATGGTTAACAACTCATTTTAGGTAATTGGAAAAGTCCTTTACGTCTCCCTCCTGTTCCGCATCCTCAGCCCACTTACCCCGACTTCTTTAGTCACGATACGACCGTCACCCCCTGCTGGTACTGACATTGACAAATGCTCTTCGTCACCCTCCTCTGCTTCTTCCTCTGGGTTGGGACAACCCTCACAACTGAACTGCAGGCTCTCTGCCTCCATCACTGGATCATCTTCATCACCTTCATCCTCCTCTTCTGCCTCTGTCCCCTCATCGTCTTCCTCCACCTCGTCTTCCTTCTCGTCTCCCTCCTCTTCACAAGTATCCTCTTTAGGGTAGTGGAACACATCTCTGTGGTCACAAAAGCTTATTTGCTTCTTCCCTCCATTGTGACACTGTAGCTCTTTGCTCACCTCTAAACCAAGTCTCTCCTGCTTTCTTTCCACGGCAGGCTGGGATAAAGGAAGGCTGAGTAAGAGCCTTTTCTCTGCTTCCTCCTCCTCCTCCTCCTCCTCCTCCTCCTCCTCCTCCTCCTCCTGTCCTCCTCCTCTACTTCCTCTACTTCTCTACTTCTCTCTTTATCCTCCTCTTCCCCTCTGTCCCCTGCCTCCTCCTCTTCCTCTTCTTCCTCCTCTTGCACTATGGATAGTTTCCTTGCCATGATCTCCTCCTCCTCTTGCTCCATCCTCTCTGCCAGGGCCTCAGCAGTGGGCTGGTTAAGAGGTACCTCCAGTATAATAGAGTCAAATCTAGGTCTGTCATAGGACTCATCATACACTGGGTAGGTCTCCTCTGGGTAACCTGCATTGGTGTACAAAAAGAAACATAAGTACATACAGTATGAGAGTTTGGGTGTATGAAGCAGCTTCTTATAATTAAAAATGGATTTGATTAGCCTGGAGACAAAATCTGCTACTAAAACCTGCAACAAGTGTAATTATTGTAAAATGATGTGAGGTGCTTGGAGATTCAGATTTAGGCGTGTACCTTCCCAGTCTGCACTGTAGGGGACCTCCTCAGCCTCCATCTCTGGGGAGGCTCCCTCCAACCGGCTCTCCTGCATCAGCTGTGTGATCTGTCTAAGTTGCCTGAGTAATTTCTCCTCCTTCTTTGATGTTGTAGTTTTACTCTTCCTCCTTCTGCCACTAGAGAGCAACACAGATATGTAAGCAGAGTCAGTAATAGGCAAGACTATGGCACATCAATCAGAGGCTTCTTGATTTCTCAAGCCCCTTAGTGAGTGAGCTGATGCCCAAATTAAGTAAATAAGCAAATAAAATGAAAATCACTTAGACCATATTATTGAGGCTGTGAGTCTCAATGTTTTCATTTGCTTAATATATCTTTAGCATCAGTTTGGCCAAAATTGACATGAGCATTCTCCAACAAACTAACAACTAGATAATGTCCCCTTTCCTTACACATAAATTCATTTTTCTAGACAATTTATGTGATTTTATGACTTTAAAATGAAGTAGTAGCAGTAGCTGTTAAGTAAAATATGCCAGTGGCCTTCCCAGCCATGGAACAATTTTCTCTTTAATTTTTTTGCCCTTTCATTTTCATGCAAGGTCTATGCTGAGTTATCCCAGTATGAAGTAATTTTTTCTGGTTCTTCTGTGCTATGGGCAGTGAACAGTAGGATGTCAAGAGAAAAATAAGTCTTACCTCCCAGAACCACGACTCTTCGCAGAGACAATCCTCTCCATCATCTTTTCTGTTTGCAGTAGTCTCTCCTGAAGCCTGGCAAACTCATACTCAGTTACTACAAGAATTGAAAGAGAAAACATTGTTTTAATATCAAAATAAATTGCATTTCTATGCAAACAGTAAACAAATGCAGCTGTGTAAATTTATATGTAAGTTGACACACAAGCATGTGTTAAGTGTTAACTGTAGGCAAAAGTGCTATTAACACATTGAATTGAACTGAACCTTCACAAAAACAACAAGTATTTTGCTATTTGTCCACAAACAGCTTAAGTTATATTAGTAGGAACCTTAGGACTGTTAAAATGTAACGAGAACAGAAATGGAATTACACACACAAATACCTTAAATCACTGAAGCTACTTACTTATCTTACTCTCCACATTTGCTTTGGTTACTGTAGTGTGGTTTCCTGATTTAGTAGTCTTCCCCTTACATGTCAGCTGTAAACATGAAACTGATTTCATTTGAGCAATGGAGCATAGCAATAATCATCTGTAATTAAAACATATGTACTGTACATTTAATTACCATTTAATGTCACAGAGATCACAGTGTCATTTCTCATTATGCTGTATTTACATGACATACAGCATAATATAGAATAGTGTAAAGCAGCATGATGACGATTTTTATTCATATACAAAGTGTGTATATACATATATACACACACACATATATATATATATATATATATATATACCCTACCTACCATGCAGGACAGTCATATAGTAATTACCTTATATATTATATAGAAGATGTAAAGAAAAATCCCAAAGCCATATATGGGTATCGCTTGAGCCATCAGGTTGTATTTTTTGCCTCGTCCGATGCCTTTTATTTTGGCCATGGCCTCAGCACTGTGGGTCATGGAGTAAGATGGGTCAACACCCCACCTTTCTGGGTCCACTGGCAATGACAGCTGATTCATCACAGGAGGGTAGAACCCAGGCCCAACTGGAGCAGACAAAAATCATTCAGTCAATATCAATAAATTTGAGCAATTTTTTCCCACATCCCACGATCAACCGGTGGTACATGTAGCTTCTTTCTAATTTCAGAAATTAATCATGTAAGTAGTGGGGGTATATAGGATATTACATCTGTGAGAGCTCTTTGTTAGCGTAAAAGCTGTAAGCTCTCACACCAACATTATTTCCATTATTGGCAGGCTGAGTGTATACCACAGTTGGTAGCACATCAACCTTAAAGGCACTACTTTAAAGTGCCAGAAAATGTTCAAGCCCCACTTTGGACCAGAGTGTTAATTGGTCACAGCTTCAAAATATCACACAGCTCTATGGTGTTTGAAATTATGTTCAGTTCCCACTAACTGCATTAGTTAGTGTTACATGTGTATATTGTCTGTCTTTCTAAATGTTATAATTGTCTGATCACTGTTTACATGGACATCAGTTTTTCTTAAGGGTAGTTGTTTGCTGTGTTTATTTTATTCTTCAATGGTGAACTGGATGTCACACATTAACAAGCATATGTGTGGTGTCCAGCCATTTGTGGTCATGGAGTGCCCTTGAACAGATGTGTCTGTCTGCTGTGCAAGTCTGTGGCATATGAGTTTTTTAACCTGTAGGTGGCCTACTGGATTTGAAAAATTGCTGGGCAGTATTAGCAGGCAGCCGCAGGTAACAGCTGCCAGCTCTCACACTGATTTTCTTTAGAAAATATAGTTGGGGATATTTTTGTGTTTTTGATCAAATAAGAAACCTTACAGTAAATTGTTACTATTTTGTAATTTGTACTACAAAATGTGTCTAAAATGTGAGATGTTAGTTGGATTAAGCAAATAATATTTCCTGCGCTCAGGGCCTCTTTGCACCAATCACATGTGCTTGCTTATGTCTGTTCCACCAGTAACAATCAATGCGGCATAAGCAGGCAGACCTGTAGTCAGGCTGCAGTGAAGTGGTAGCTAGTTAACTAGCTAGCATAACATGCAGTGTTTGGCCTGCAGTATTGGTTATCATAATTTCTCTGCTATTTACATTTTTGAAATTTGCCTAAAGCACTGCAAATGTTACTAGGGTGTAAAACTTAAAATTAAACGGTATTGTACTTGTGAACTATATAATTTTTTTTAACATAGCAGGTGATATAAAAAACAGAGTTGCCCTGATTTTGAAGTATCCTTGACAATGTTTTTATTCAGAGTGAGTCAACTTTCTCTGAAAATGGCTGGTGTCATTTCTGGACAATGTTTTAAAGATTTGTTTTGTGGTTCCAGAGATCAAAAATATCTTTCTGTTTTTAATGCATGTGGATGCCACCATATTAAACTATTATCATTGGTTAAACCCTCTAATGGAGAATAGGGACATTTTTTTAAAGAAGCAAAGTATATGCTTAAGACATAACAGATCTATGATGGGATACTCTGAAATGTAAGGTTCAAGCAGAGTGATTAGAATATTATATATAGAATATCTAAATTCATACCAAGTGTCCACTTCCATCTTTAGGTCTGAATTATCTACAAACACAGCTGCAGCTTAAAGAATATCAATATCAAATAATAACAATAACACACCTTTACCGTAATTCAGTTTTACTGTGTTTAATATAGGCAACAGGCTATTTTTTTAAAGGTATATTTTAATTTATTGTATACATTTATTTAAATAAATAGGCCTAAACATATTTAAACATATGCAAATGTGCATGTATAAATGTTACACACTCACATTATGATAAACATGTGTGCAGTGACCCTAGGCCTGGTGTATAGCCAGAGTAACATCTGGCAACAACAACAACAGCAACAAAAAAAGACATGGAGATGGAACAGGATGGAGATGGACATTCTGATGGATGATGATCTGATAAGCTGCCTTACCCTCAGGCTGCCCCATCTCCTTCTTTCCTCTGGGTAAAAGCATTCTGGGCAGGAAGAGAGAAACACAGAGAACAGAGCATGATATCAGAGTAACCTTCTGGCAAGTTGTTATAGACATTTTGTCTCAGGAAATGACAGCCGTTGGTTTATTTCACTTGAACAGTGAAGCTAGCATCCACAGATGTCATCTCTCATCTGGTGACGTTCGTGCCCAGATTAGACCAGATTAAACCAGCTGCCTTCAAGTGCTGTTTGAAATATTGACTAGTGCATTCATTATTCTTATATTATTATTTCCTAATCTGGATTTCAGAAACTACACAACCTACACCAACCAAATTTAGCAGATAGATGGGGTTGCTTACTTAGGTATACCAATCAGCATCAACTCACCACCTATACTTTAGGCCACCTTTCCCCCTGGAGTTCATGGGTCAAGACGCATCTTTCTGCAAATGCCAACCCAACTACAAAATTAGTTTAATAACATGACGGACCAAGCTATTTAGCACTGAATTTAAATAAAGCCATGGATGCTTTTGCCCAGAGACTGGTGAGGGGAAAGTATCTGGTTTAAGGTAAGGCAGCTCACTGTGTAACTGTGTGTTATGGGTGGTTTAATGAGAAGTGTTCAGTGTTGGGCCGATCAGTGCATTGCTGATTGACATGTGAGGCAACGTAGGATTCGACTGTGCGACTTCATGACAGCTCCCAGCCAGCTAGTTGTAATTCTGGTATGATAAAAGTGTTAGACTGATGACACACAAGCTGACATGAGGATGCAAGTGTCACACAGGTGTGCCAGTCTCCTTTGATTCTGATCAGGTGAATACTTGTGTGTTGGCATTGTTATTCCTACTAGCTGACATTTCTCATCGGACTTGTCATGTTGGCAAAGTGAGGAGGAGTGATATAATTTTTTTTCTAAAATAGCAACTTTATTTCTAAATGCTAAAACCAAGCTTGCTGAAGATGCCAAACATAACCCATCATGACACTGTATTGAGTAGTGTTTTTTCTAAGGCCTTGAATACACAATATGCATTTACAAATGAGGTATTTACGATGAGCACTCAAATGCAGCACATGACCTATCAACCCATCCACTCTGTAGACCCTCTGGTGTGTGTTTTATACCAAAGAGCAGCAGATGGCAGTGCAGGCTCAGGTACAGATGTGTGGCATGGAAGGAAGACAGGAGATTACCCACTCAAGAGTCCCAACAGTCAAGTAATGAACTGACCACATGACATGGATCTAGTTAGCAAACAATATAAAAAAAATATGGAGGGGGCAAATGCAAAAATTTAGTTAGTGAAATATAGCCTATACATTCAGTAGGCCTATTCTAATTACATATTTTGGGATAATAGTTGTTAGGATAGTTGTATGGGATTCTCCTGCTGCCATCAGTCTTTTATGTGTGTAAGTTTGAAAGTTAGATGAAAGCAGGCTAACTTGAATAACTATCATGAGTTTGGAATAGTAGGTATTTTTTACAAACCATGTGGCATTATTTATGTTATATTTTTCCATTTTAAAGGTACAGCAGTCCATTTTGGCACATAAGCTCAAACCAAAATGCACAATGTCAAGCAGGTGGGCAGAAATAACGAATCCCACATATATTTTCCAAAGAATATTTATCTAGAGGCTAAAGGTTTTCTGAAACAGTGGTCAATGTGTTAGACCCTCAGAAATGTCCACTTGGTACAGGGGTCAGACGTATAATTGATGGCGTACATGTGATCAAAGATTAGGTCTAAGGGTTCTTGCTTTGATAGAGGAGTATAATTCACATTTCATTTCTGCCTGTGTAACTCCCCGCGAGTGGCAAACAGGCAACAACCAGTATCTGCCACTGTGCATTCATGAGGCAAAAAAACATTGAAAACACAGATAAAATGACGAAGAGCTGTTGTGCAACCAATTGCACAAACAGAATAAGAAAGGCGTTAGGCACACTGCTGAAGGATGAAGAGAAGTGGAGTAAAATAAAGGAATTCTTGGAGTTGTGTATAGTTAACTATGCAAACACAAAGTTTTCCGAATGAAATATGTCAGAATATTTTGATCAACCCATCAATGTCCTTTGAAGTCCTCGTGATTAGATTGGGCCAGTAAATCCTGCTTTAAAATTCAACTATACGTGTTTAGGCTTTGTTTATACCTCCTTGGGGTGACCTATATATGCACACATTTTACATACCTCAACCCAGTATGGATCCATGTCAGTTGTACGGATTGTTGTTGGCTTTTGATGTTTTACTAGTTGCTTGTTTTCTACGTGGTATCACTTCTCTCCTCATTCATAGCTGCCATAGTTTCTGTCTTTGGGATGACACAGTTAGGACAGAATTGTGGTATTGCAAAATTTGAGTGTGTATTTGTTGTCAGTCTTGAAGTCTTTCCGATTTTATGTATGACTGATTTATTTCAACAAGCTAATTTAAACTAGCTTGTGTCCAACATGCTTTGAACCAGCTCTGCGATGCCAATAATCTCCCTATTCTGGTCACACTTCTGGAAAATGTTTATTGCAGGTTGCTTCTATGGATGATTATCCTTTTATTAAATTACGTCAGGTTTTAGGACTCATTAACAGTGTAACTGAATTTACTTTATGTAATTAATCACATGCTATTGCCAATTCTGATTTGGCACTATTAATCATGCAATCCTTCTTAAGCATTGGCTGGACACGTCAACTTAAAAATATTAATTAAATGTTGTGAAGAGGCTTTTCTCCATTTGGATGCTTTGTGGAGTTCCCCAGGTGTCATATCTAGCTCCAATTCTGTTCTATATTTATATGTCATCTTTAGGCCATGTATTACATAGACATACCATCAGTGTTCTTCATTATGTAGATAGTATGCAGCTCCAGCTATTATGCAATTCTCAAATACCCACAGGGATTTGACTGTCGTCATAACCATCTCCGAGACATTCACAAGTGGATGGCTAAATTTTTACTGCAGCTTGATGCAAATGAAACAGAAATATAAAAGAGTAACTCACACACATTGTTATCAAACACTGCAGAAAATCTGGCTTTTTAAGGTAACCCCTGCCTAGACAAGCATGTTAAAAAAGTGATGCAGTTGTGTTCAAGATTGAAGCAATCATTTCTTTGCTAAAGATGGAACCTGTTATGTATCTATTTATCATTTTCCGCCTGGCATGCTGTAATGCTCTGTATTCTGAAATTGGTGAAAAACCCATTATTGCCTTTTGCTTGTTCAGATGCATCAGCTAAAAATGTATCAGGTATAAAGCAAACACTCACATTCTTTCATCCGATCATTAGCTACCTGTAGAACTGTTTTTAAGATTTTAGTGCATTATATATACACCTCTCAAGGAAGTGCTTGAGAAAGACTGTGTTTCCCCATGTTAGACCCCATAAAGGCTATGAATGCTTTACAATGAGGAGCCATCTGCTAAATGAATGGTTATTATGAGGAGCTTTGGAGGCTAGCTGGTACGCCAGTGAAGTCTGACTTCACTTTTTGTTGGATGTAACCATTATCACCTCCAGGTCTTTTGTTTTTCTTTTGTGGTTGCATCGTCGGGCCCTGTTTTGAGAACACTACTTTCCTAACAGCCCTTGGTCATGGTTTTCCACCAATAGCAAAGACTTTCAAAGGGCGGAGGTCTGTACTGATATAAAATAATAGTTACTTTGATGTAGTACAGATGTAGCCCTCTAACAGCATGCCCAACTGGTTTCTTGCTCTTCAAGTTCAACAAGTCTAGTACAGCTCTTAAATAGGACAAGCCACCATCTGACTCGGTGGTGGGTGCATGAAGTTATTTCATTGTCCTGAAACTGAGCCTTAGGGAACAATAGTTAAAACTTGTTAAGATGTGTTATATGCCATTCTAGTTTGCTGCTTTTGCTTATTGAGTAAGTTAAAGTAGTGGACAGCACTTCATGCATGTACTGTCACTTCAGCAATCATGCTTGGTCTAATGATCTATAAAAAGTTAGCTTTTGCTCATAAAAGGATAACAAGAAAACTCTTCTTATAACGTATGTTGCCTTGATTAAATATTTTTTGACTATTAAGTATATTTTATGCAGGATAAGCTGGCATCACTATGAACCTTGGGTTTCTTAAATGCAAGGAAACTAAAATTAGATAAAGAGTAAAAGGTGTCTAAGGACCATTCCGATAGAAGTACAAGAAATCATGAGGTTGACCCTTAAGGCCTTCTCAGTAGTAACCTGTAGTGCATCACATGGGTAAAGTCCCATTTTACCCCTCTCAAACACTTGGACAATCTTAGTGTAAGTAGTGCTTATAGAAAGACATCAAGGAGATTTAAGCTAAGTGAAAAATGTCAGGGCACACAAAATCATTGGTCCAGGGTGGATATTTGAAATGAACAATTGTGCTTACCTTGCTTGTAATTTTAAGACACATGATAATGATATCGTTCAAATAGTAATAAGACTGTCACAAACCCCCGGTCGTGACCCTGGCCTGCCTGTTGCCCTGAGGCTGCTGGTGGGCGTGGTAATCTGAGCTCCAGGCTTTCCCACCTGAAGCACATCCGCAATCAGCACACCAGGGCCTCTACCTGCAATCAACACGCCTTTAAGAGATCAGCCAACCTTCCAGTCCCCGCCGGATCGTTGTACTTAACCGTATGGACACGCCAGCCAGTTTGTCTGTCTTAGTTTCAGTATTTTGTCTGAACCTTCGTACCAGTGTTAACTGCTCTCTCTTTGTCTCGACCTCAGGAAACCTGCACATGCACCACGCGGATTCCCTCCTGTGCCCCGGAATCATCTAAGCTCTGGGACCAGAACCGCAGACCCTCAGAATGACCACCTCACCCCAACCTCTTCCAGGACACCCCTTGTGCTCAATAAACCACTTCTGTGCATTTCTCTAGTCTGTGTTTGAGTTTCTGGCCCCCGGTCCTGACAAAGACTGTTGTACAATGATGAGGGTTTTTTTTCATTGTTAGTGTTCAAACATTAGTTGGTCTTACAGTCAAAGATGTATTTTCCTCAGTGTTCTGACTGGCATCTTATTTGTGCAGCATGATTTCATTTCAGTCAAACAATGGTTGTAGACCTTTTCCATCTTGGTCTATGAACTGGTG